CAAACTCTACCAACTGGCTCACAAGCACTACAAATAGCTGCTCCCTGCACTGTCCTGCCAAATGGATTACAAATATACGCAACGTCTATGCAAGGGCTGCATGAGCAAACCTCATCGCTCAGAACCTTTACATCTCCACGGCTGCAGCGAACAGACCTGCATGGGCCAAAGCAATTTACTTGGCACTGCAAATCAGGCTATTATCCTCTCTGGAGGCTAAACATTCGTGGTTTGTACATTGGGGTTCGCATGCAATCGTACAATGACTCGTGTGAACCAAGAAGAAAGTGGCCCCCTTTTAGATATTGCAGACAGCATACATGCCACATTGTAGGACATACCTTCTTAGAGCTACATGATCCATGGGTAGGAAACACATATGCTCATTTTACATAGCTGGACTGGGGTGCTTACAGCTTCCTGGGAACAAATGGTACCTCTATCATTGAAGAGTATTCAAAAGTATACACGCGCGCTCACAAATAAACATATACATATGTTGTATATTAGTAGGTGTACGAATATGTGTGCGTGTAGAGCAAGAGAAAAAGAACATGCTACATAATATAACATATCTTACTCTCCTTCAGGTATTTCCAATACCTGTCCAATATGAGGCATTGAATAAAACCTATCCAACACTTTGCAAATGCATGGTTACAAGGCGCTTATAAATACATCTTTCTCAATTTGTCGAGGCTACCCATATTAAAAACGTGTACAGAATGGCTACACCATAGTGTTTCAATTTACAATTCATTTTAAATTTGGCCACAATTATCGAGTGCGGAATTACTGCAACCCAGATAAATCATGTGGATCGTGAGATATAATGCGGGTTTCTATGGAGTAAAAATTATAGTAAAAATCAAAAGGAAAAATACGTATTGCAAAGTCAGATGCGCGGGTTTCACGGATTATGGGTTTTGTTCCTTTTATTTCTTTTTTTAATATTTCTCATTCCTCCTTTATTAAGCAAGATGGAAATGAACAGAAATCAAAACGGAAAACAACAGAGAATTTTTTTTTTTAAACCTCTGCCACCTCTGGAGATAAATAAATAAAAACACCACTTGTTTTTTTCTTAAAAAAACCCCAGAAAACTCAACAGATATTTCTGTGTTTACTACATCTAACAAACTGCCCCAAATTTCCGGCACCCAGTCACCCAGAACGGAGACGTACACACGGCAAACCACAATGCGGGACGTAACCGCATCAGGAAAACTGGGTACCTTTAACCAGTTCCAAACGTTGCTAATACATCTAGCTATAATCCACGGATCCTTTTCGTTGTTCTTTTTTTCCTTTTCCTTTTTTTTTGTTTTTGTTTTTGTTTTTTGTTCCCTCTTCCCCTATTTTTTTCTGTGCAGATATACTTTCCTTGTCAAACATCATTTGAAGCGGTAAATACCCCACTCCCTCCTGTATACCACGACGCTGAGGCTTGGACAGAGGTGCAATTATAGTGGGATTTCATGAAGCTGAGAGGTCGTGATCATGAGCCTTACAACAGAAGGGGAGCATTCTTGCTGAGATATTTATATCAAGGGGGAGGAAAGTACCATCGATGAATTTCAGCTTCCGGTACTATTTTAACAATCGTTGAGCTCCTAGCAGCAGAAACTGACCCCCGGTACTATTTGAGCTCCTAGCAGCAGAAACTGACCCAAAAATATCTGGCAATACCGTCTGCCAGTTCCAACGACCTTGCTCCTAAAGCTCGATCGGCCACCTAATATACATTAAACCACATCCATGCCGTCCTGTGCGAGGGCCCTTGCACATGTTGGGCATTTAGCCGAACAAAAGAAAAGAGCCAAAGCTCTGGAAGCCAGGGAGGAATTGAAGTTGTAACCAAAAACTTAGTAAGGGGTGGGGAGGGAATCTCTCCCTCCCAACCCCCTACAAAAATGCGAGCGCGATAATAAAACCCATATGCAACAAAATCGCTCCATAAAGAAGCCATTACAGGGACGCACGCACAAAAGGATGGGATTCCCGAACTTTAGGGCAATGAGCAATGCAGGCACGACACTGGAAGAAACTGTACATTTTCGGGTCCTGTTTATCCCTCAAGTGAACATCCGATGGCTGGTAGGAAGACTCTGACCATACTCCCAATCCTACAGGCATTTGTAAGTCTATAGGTGACTACAGATACGTTATATAAGCGGCATACGAGTCAGACCTACGGACTTGCACCACAAACACAAGTTGCCTCATCGGCCCGCACTTCATACATCATGCTCCACTCGTTTGGACAGAGATCCTCATTGAAATACAGCTGGGAGCTCTAACAAAATGCAAAAATTTCACTGGAGATCAACTCTAGAATGAAGAGTCCATTCATACTGTCAGGAAGCGAACTGGAAAATAAAAAAGTTCTCTATTAAAGAGTCCCCTCGGAGCTTTCCTGCAGCAAGCGGAGGGGAGGGGAGGAAATATCTCCAGCACTAGAAGTGCAAAAAGTCTCCCCTGTGAGCAGCAACATTTTGTCTATTTCACTACCTATTTGTCTATTTCACTATTACAAGGGGGCACAGGTCTTTACATGAGGATCAGCTAAGGTTCATGTTTCCATACCTGCACAGATTTTAACTCTCGGCTGGTTCTGATGATAGCTGAAAAATATGTTTTTACCAAATAAAAAACCCAAGATCAAAAGGAAAAGGCACATGTAAACCATCTAGCAAATAAAATTAGCACAATTACTGTTCCTACAAACTCAATGATAATTTTATTTAGTTCCATATAAAAAAAGATTCTGCTAATTAGCATAACTTTTTTCCAATTGTTAAAAGGAGGTTTTTCTACAAAACTGCCCACAAATTTGTCTATTTCAAGCAGTTTTGAGAAGGGGGATTCTCTATAGTCTAAGTCCTTAGAGTCGTGAAGGGGGGAGCCAGAAGAATTACAACAAAATTGACGTGCTGGTTTGTTTAAATTAACCTTGGGAAGAACAGAATTATATGCAAAGAAAGACAAATTAATCTAAAGTAACCTCAAGTCACCAATGTCTTTTTCAAGGGCCGTGAAAAGATTAAAAAAAAAAACTTGAAACGTTTTCCTCCCTTACAAGATTTGAGAAATCTTGTTTCTCAATTCTGAGTTTCCCAAGCCACATGCAATCATTGTTTTGTGGTCTTTTTATTAGAGACTGGTAGACTGAATAATACTTTACATAAGCCATTATGAACTCCTGAACACAGATAACCCATTTTCTAGTCTCACCACTGAAGCAGCCATGGGAGTTTATTTTAAATAATCATGTGGCAATAACTGGCAACACAAGATGCCTTTTGTTATATATTCTGGGTTCTCACAGTGTATGTTCATGGTTCCCCGGCAGACATTTACCACAGTTAAGGTTTCTTTTAAAGTCAGAGTGGAAGACTCGGTTTGTTTCAAGAGCTTCCCCAGCTCAAACTTCTCAAGGAAGGGAAAACTTGAATTTACCCAGAGTTCATTCCCAAGGAGTAGGGAAGACTTTAAATATCTCACAACAGAATCTGGGCAAAATTAAGATGCAGTCACACCCACAGGCTGTGGAACCTCTAGTACGGTCTGAAGGGCTGGGCTATCTTATTGGGTTTAATATGAATCTGTAACAGTAATATGGCCCTGCCCAGGTCTGACTTCCTGAGGAATGGAAATCCTCACAACTCAAGACATGAGCCTTTTGTAAACTTTAAAAAGGCAAGTGAGCAAAAGATTCCCCTGCCTGAGCCAGGTTTACCTGCATCCAATACACACCTGAACCAGCAGGCAAGTAATCAAAGAAAGATGAACAACTGTCATTGGAGAGCGGGTGTTTAATTCAACAAGAAGAGAGTTCCTAAGCGACGTGTAATTGATTTTACAGTCTGCAGCGGTTTTGAAAACTGCTATAATTTGTTCACCTTGGCTAAGCAGACTCACAACTTCCCAGAATTGGCTTCTGGGTGAATGGATATTTGGTGCCAGCACTGTGACTGCCAAAAACACAGAGCTGGAAAAATAATATCTATATCTACTGGGTTTGCATCAGTTTTGCTTCAACAAGGGCTTGGAAGTGAAACTCTCACACAGCTTCTTAAACTAGCAGCAGTAAATAAAATAAAAGAGAATAGAATGGTTGGTTTTGTCCCCCATTAAATACGAGACTTGTTGGTTTCTGCTGTCTATTATAAAAAAAATCCATTATTCATTGCAAATGGATATTGCCCAGAATTGCTTTTTTTTAACAAATCCTTTTATTAATAAAACATGCTGATTTCCTGAGGATATCAAATGCCTATGCAAGTGATGCACATACGGAGTAAAATAGCGAGAGCAAATCTATGTCTACCTACACATGGGTACTTGTACCCCTCCCAGCTTTACAACAGAGGCCTCTGAATGAGCAGACTGACACGACTCATTATTTAGGAATGCTTTGCTTTGCCACAAGTCAGCAATCACACACACACACACACACACAAATAAAGGCCCACAGATTTTTTTCAACTCTCCAGGTAGGCAGCATCCATCTCACTTTCTTCGGGGAAATCAGGCCTTGGCTGAGCTGAAAAGTTGCTGGTAACTTCCCCATCAAATAATCTCCCCAGCTTGTAGGATAACCCTGCCCTTTCTGCTCCCACTGCATAAGCAAACAGAAAAACCCAGGCACTATCTGATGGGCACCTTCCACCTTCCTCGCCTCAGCCTGACTCAGCTGGAATGGGTCATTAAGTTTGCATTCCGCCCTGATCACTGCCATTGGCTTGTTGTAAAGGAGAGAGGGAGAAGGAAATACACAGGGTGTGTGTGTGGGGGGGGTCTGCATAGACACAAAGACAGAATTGGCCCCAGCAGGAAACGCTTCTGTTCCAAGCTCCCTGGAGGAGAAAAGTCCCAGGCCACACACACATGGACCACAGCAAAACAATGTGAGAGCCAGAAACGCATCACTCCCAGCGCCCCCAGCCCGGCCCTGCTGGCTCCCTGGCGCTGCTCCGGGAGGGCTCCTGCCCCCTTACCTGGGGTTGCTCTTGTTCCAGTACACGGCGTAGCGATCCGAGAGAACTTTCCCAGCCTCGTC